CCCCAAAACCCCAAAACCCCAAAACCCCTTTTTATGTTTCAGAGATTGAATCGTTAGTAATTCCAGAATCGGTTACTTGAGTAGAGGTTCATGACAATTACTTTCACTACACTCATGAGAGTCCTGGATCTTGGGGGATTTCTTTAGTTTTGATTGTTTTGTCTCCTTTATCTCTTCTTTGCGCTCCTCCTTTTCTTCCTCTTTATCCTCTTCTATCAAGGAGTGATAAGATCTGCCATTACTTTCTTTTTGTTGGAAAAAGAACTCATCCTCTTCTTCATCTGAAGGAGTGCTGTCTTTTATGGGTGTAGTTTTGTACTTATTTCAAACCTGAGATAGAGATGTGAATGATTCAGATACCAAATCATCTTCATTGGTGGGATCTTCACGATCCTTCTTTTCATTCTGGGAATTGATACTTTCAATACTGGAATAGATATCGATTGATAAAGCAACAAGGATGTTTAGTATGACTAGAACACTGAAGAAGTAAAATAGTATAAAGAACAGTCTCGTCCAGATAGTCCCAGTAATGTTTTCAAACATTAGGACTATGACGTGCCAATTGTTCACTACCATCAAAGTGAATAAGGTCACGAAAGAATTTGCTATATCGTTGAAGTTCATTTCAATGTATGTGTCAGGAATATTTTGGTCCCTTACAACATTTGAATTTGTAGCTGAAAGCCCTCCGAAAGCCCTATCGCCTATAAGAGAGAAAAGCAGGAAGAAGACGAAAGACACAAGTAATAGACTTGCGAATGGTTTTATCAGAGAAGAAATTGTTCTGATTATTATCTTCCACTGTTTAATTTCGTTAAATAGCTTCATCAATCTGAATCCTCTGAGGATGATTATTATTTCTTGATATCTAATAAGGACCTCGGTCTCAAGACTTACTAAGTAATATATGAAAGCACTGAGAATGATGATTTGGAACAATATCTCGATTTTGAGATGGTTTCGCCTTTTGAATGCTTTAAGCACACCAAATCCATATCAGATCAAGATCATTTCAGCTAGGAAGAGCCAGGTGATTATGAGTTGGGTAATGAGCCACGGCATTAAGTGCTCGTTTTTCTCACTGAACATCTCTCCCATGTCCTTGGCTAAGATAGAGACAATATTCAAAGCGACTATGACATTCATTAGAAGGTCATAGAAGGCATTGGTGACTATTTTCTTGACTCTCCTCCTTCTGAGATTAACTTTAAGAGCAACAGAGCCAGAGATCTGATTATCGAGAGATACAAAGTCCATTATTTCAAAATATTGTAAAAAGTCTTCTAATGTTATCTGACCGCGACATCTATGGCTAAATTGAGCAGCTATCTTATTCAGATTTGTCTTTTTGACTGCCTGTAGGTTCAGCTCAAATAAGTCAGTGATCATTGATTTAAACTCTCTCTGAGTCAGATATCCCTTATTTTCTAAATCATGAGACTGAAATTTCAACTGTAGAAATTGCTCTCTTATCGACATGAATTTACTAATAGTATTATCGACTCTTGTTCGATAATTATTGTAATAAACAGCCAAGACTAAATTCAGCAGAAAGAATAGAACAAACACTAGATAAATGATAAAGAATATAGCATATGCTCTATTTATGTTATAGGCTAGCATCATTACATCAGGAAAATTTGCAGTAGTCAACAGGACCATCATGCTCCATATACTCTCAGATAGAGAGGAGAAGTAAGCTTCTCCTTGCTGTGTTCCTCTGAATAATCGAAACCCGACCCATCCAAAGAGGATTATGTAGGAAATAATCATGAGGAGGATCTCTTTCGAGTCTGCGATAACGAGAGCAATTCTTTTAAGAGCTTCCCTAAGCCCTCTAATGAAGATTACTATGAGTAAAATCCTGATAAAATGGCTGATATATGGCGAATTACTTCTAATCAAGGCAACCATAATGTCAATGACTGATGCAAATGTAAGAATTGTTTGTATAAGCTCTCTTGATTTCGCCAATTTAGTCAACTTCCTAAAAGTTCGCCTGAAAAAAGTGAAGAAAAGTAGAGTAAATAGTCATATCAGCTCAATGAGCCGTGATATGTAGTGAGGAAGCTTGGGAATCCCAGAATTAGGATACACATCAGGATCTCATCTTCTCCTATCCTTTATATTTGAATTGGTCAGACACCAGGAGGGCACTTCAAAGAATACCATGAACATGTAGATGTAGAGGGTGACATACTTGACATAATAGACTTTGTAATAGAAAATTTGATACTTATTTAGCCTTCTCTCCAGTCTCAGTTCTTTGTTCTTTCCTGATGGCTTTGTCTAGAGCCATTACCATATTCTGAGCTAGCACGTCGTCATACTTAGATGTGGTAAATGTCTTGTCCCTATTAGTGCCTCCATGAGTCTGGTTTAGTCCAAGCTCTCAGTTTGTCCCCCTACTCGTGTTCATTAATTTGGCTGTGTATGTTGAACTATTTTCCATATTTTTAATGTTTTAAGGGGTTTTGGGGTTTTGGGGTTTTGGGGTTTTGGGG